CTCTCTCTCTCTCTCTCTCTCTCTCTCTCTCTCTCTCTCTCTCTCTCTCTCTCTCTCTCTCTCGTTGTCGATCTCCATGCTGTGCCTGGTTATCCACTGTTCCTAGCATGAACCGTTATCCACTGTTCCTAGCATGAACCGTCTCGTTCCAAGACCACCACAGTTTTTTGTTTGTTGTTTCCTTGCTCTTGGCTATGGTTTGCACCCATGAATCTTTTCTCAGGAGGGCAATGGTTTTGAAAACGAAAAAGAAAAAAGAAAGGGGGGATTGGATGGAACGCCTGAATCGGGGTGTGTTTGTGGAGAGGTGCAGAAAATGGATATCGATGCCTTTCTGCATGTCAGCCTAAAACACATCCACATTCAGCCTCTTAATCCAATCTTTGCTAGTGGGACTTTGCCCTAGAGTATGGTCATGCATGTGCGAGCTTGAGGTGGGGGAGGACGAGAAGAGGTGGAAATCGAGGACTATGACAGGGACAAGGTGAGGGTAGAGAAGGATGAGGAGAGGTGGGGGTGGTTGGGAGGGCGAATGCACCTGCCTTCTCGGCGTTCTTGCGACTGCCAGTGACGAGCAGCAACACCTGCCTTCTCACAACTGCCCGTGCTGCACACTGTGCATAGTGCGACATGCAGCGACATGCAGCGACGTGCAGCGCACAATGTAGAAGAGCGTCGAGCCAAGCGGGTAGCTACCACCGTATTCCCTCCAACATAAGGGACCCTAATAATGAATGTATGCAAGCTGTGTTTACAACCACAAGCAGAACACAATGGACCCTCATAATGAATGTATGGAAGGTATGTTTCCGGCCACAAACAGCCATAATAAGGGTCCGTTGTGTTTGGGGGAAGACAGTGGCAGCCCGTGGGACGCCGGGCGCCAAACTCGATACGCTACAAATATTTTCCACAACGGCGCAGTTTGCCGCCCTTTTGGTTGTCGCCGCTATGCAGCGTGGGAGGAAGAATGAAAAATAGCGGTCGGTACCCCTACACAGATATGTGTATAGGTGTAGACCCCTATATGCATATCTTTTGACGGGTGACCCGTGCCAGGTCTAGACCCGCCCACACCTACCCGTTTTCTTTTTAATCAGGGCAAGACATCAACTGGTCCGTTCCTTTTCCTGACAACTGGCCCCAGCCCAGCTGTGGGCCATCCTCCCATCCCCTAGCCGCACCTGGCCGGGTGGGACATGGGGCTAGCCAGACCTGCCCACAGCTGTCGGGTCCGGCTGGGGGCAGCTGGGTGCGGCTACGGCCAGCCTTTTGCAGGCTCTGGCACACTGACACCGTTCTTTGGCTTTACCTGTGCAGTTCTTTGAACTTCTTTCTTTTCTTTCCTGTTTTGGATTTTTCAGTTTCTCTGTGATTTCTTCTTTCGACTCCCCCTTTACTGTGTCTCTCACGTAAAAGTTGAGTGTGAGCTGCCCGCATCCCTGTATGCCATAAACACCCACTTGCACGCTGTGAAAAGGAGGCAAAGTAAAGGGAGAGGGGAGACAGAAAAGAAAGATGGAAGGGAGACAAAGCAAAGAGGGGAAAAGAGAAAGAAACAAATGCGGAATAAAGATGAACACACAGGGAAGGATGAGAGAAGACTCCAGAGTCAGTCTGTCCTTAATGATAGAAAGGACATGCTCTGTAAGGCCAAGGTGGATGATGACATGGAAGACCTAACTGAGCATTCTCAGCACAATAATCGCCATTATGGCTGGCATTAAGCATGCCCACCAAACAAATGGCATGAATGACAGGGCCGACAGGCATCAC